ACGCTTTGATTTAATCACTTGCATACTGATTTTCCTGTAACACTTTCCTTTTGTCTAAGGCCTTCAGCTTCTTTTAGCATGGTACAGGTGTTGGCAGAAGTTCTGTTTTTAGTTTTGAATCTAGGGATAAACCAATCTGTAAAAAAACCTTGAAGATAAAAATGCTTTCTTCAGAATGTTTTTAAAATGGTGCAAGTTGAGAATTCAAGGTCATATACATGGCATTTTAAATATGTGAATGATATATATATTAGAATGTCCTGTTTGGTTTTCGTTTTTCCTTTATAAAGGCGCTGGCTTTATTTTTTTATTCATCAATATATGTTTGCAATCCATAATGTTTACATTCATCTTAGGGAATTGACATACATGTGTGCATATCACACCTGGACCATTTCCTATCCTCTTTCTCATCCAGGGCCCTTCTTCTGCTTCTGTTTCTGAAATCCCTTCTCTCAAAATCTGCCTCCTGGTTTCCTTACAGTTCTCCTTTATCTTACTACGTAATTTATCTAAATTTTGTGTTTTTCATCACTTTAAAGTTAGCCCATGCTAACTATGCATATGTTTTCAAATTTTGTTTCTTATAGTTTTTTATTGTATTCCTTATGAAGTCAAGACTCCTATTTTTTGGCTATATTTTGTCTTTGATATTGTCTTTTCTAAAGTGTTTTACTTGGAATGCTAATCTCATACTCAAGAATGGTTGCTATAATCAAATATATTTGGAAACTGCTACATAAAATATGCACGTAAGGGGCTAGGTGTGCAGGAGAAGGATATACTTTGCAAAAAGTTATGAAGTAAAGGGACATAAAATTTTGCTTAGTCAAGTATTTGCCAGCATTTCAGTTCTGGAAACTATCCCCCTCTTCTATGCCTGAAACTGCTGTTATAAATACTTAACAGTGAGTACCTTGACTCACAAGTCAGCCTGCCGTTCCATCTCTTTGTTGGTTCTCAGCCCATGGTGTTAAGGGACTGTACCTCCTACAGTTGACCATATGGGGAAAACCAGAGGCTCTCATAACTGTAATTTAAGGGTACAGATGGGCCTAGGATTTCATTCCAGGGCATCCAGGCACCCTGAGGTCACTATTTAGCCCACTTGGACACAGGCTGGTTGCGTGGGCATTGACCGGACAGTACGGTTTCTGGTCTTCCTGCTGTAGCGAGTTTCGTGAGACCTGTGCTGGACCAAGCTTTTCTGATTATTAGAACATGAGGAGCCCCATGAGGGCCCCACTGAGAGATGCAATGCTGAGGCTGGAGATGCTGCCACACAGTCTCGGGTCAGTAGCTACCTGCCTACTGGTTGGCAAGTATGTAGCATTTGCATCCTGTGTCACGGTACCAACATATGCCAGCCAATTTTGATTTCTACCTGTGACACCTGCCAGCATGCTCATTCTAGTTGTGAAACACTCATAGGTGATTGACAGTCTATACCATTTGTGTGCGAGAACCCATGTCGTATTTTTCTCTATCAATTGTTTGTTATAGAAGGCATCATGTCTAGGCCTGTAGCTCTGCTGGGACAGAGAATTAACACATTGTGGTTCAGTTGGGAGCTTTGTACAGTCAAGTTACAGAGACGGTACAGAAATATACTGGCATCTATTTGGAAAGAACTGGGTTGGTGGACAAGTGTTATTATAATGCAAGTATGTAGTAACATAGTATAAACCTTCTCAAAAACTAATTCCCCTGGTGTAAGTCCAAGCCACTCCTTGGTCATTTTTGGACACTGAGATTAGAGTTAAACACACATATAAGGATGAACACATGCACAAAATGAGCTCATTTTGCTGCAGAATCCTGGTAGAGCAAGGATGAATGTATTAATGTAAAAATATCCATTGAAAACCTCAGTTATCATGTTAGGAGAAATTATCAGGAACTGCTGCTTGCACCCTGAGAAACTGGTTCCTATGTCTCAGCCTCATTTCTGTTATCCCACTTGGAGAAATCCTGCTTTCTCTTATCTTGAAAGAGGTCTATTTTTGCCTGTCACTGAGCAGCATTTAATAATACAGCTATATTAATGCTTGTCGTCCTCTTTATGCTACTGCACCCTGATGGATTTCGCATCTTACTTGTTTATTCTTGACCTTCCAAATACTGTTCAGATGATGAATGCAAAAATAGTATCCAATAAAAGATGATAGAAAAATGCCAAAAATTTTTGGAGACAAACAAATTTTCATTAGAAAGAGAAAACTGACCCTGAGAAGACCAGGGAAAGAGTGTTAAAAAAAAAAAGAGCATAAAATCCCCCAAAACAAAAACAAAATGAGAGTTGACTGAGTGAGTAAGGAAAGAAATCTTGAATCTTTCTTAGAAAGTAGCAGGACATGAGAGAAAAAATGAGATTTTGTGGTGATGCGTGAGTATGCTCTATGAAAGAGTTCTAGGATGTTGGTCAAATATTGTCAATTGTCAAGATAATGTTTATGATGCAAACCTTATCCTTAAGACGGCCCAGGCCCTCCCTTCTCTGTGTACAAAATAACTTCCGGTCTGTGCGGTTCTTTTGAACTCCTCTTCCTATACATCTACCCATTGTCAAGGTTTGTAGTTTTTTCTAGAGGTTTCTCATGGTGTCCCATTCCTCAGAGACTGAGAATGGTGTGTAGGTCCTTTAAAGTGGGGCTCCTGGCCATGCAGGTGTGCAGGTTCATCATCACCTCTTTAGGAATCTGGCTAAAAGCAGGAGGTGAACTGCAGGCAACTGGACAGCCCAGCCCAGGAGGCCGAACACCCTCTCAGGGACTTCGTGTGAGATGCGTAAGGGATTTCAGTTGTCCATTCCTTACCTAAATGCAATGGAGGGAAAGGGCTAAAAAAGGAATTGACAATATGTCCTTATAATGCACCAATTTCTTACCATCATTATTACTGCAAACATGTACTGATAAAAACTAAAAATTTAAAAAAAAACAGAAACAAATGAAAATAAAGTTTTTCAATCACCCCGATCCCTCTTCCAATGGAATCATTGTCTTCTGTAAGACAGGGGCCTCGTGACAAAAATGCTGGGTGCTGCTGCTTTCAAGCACTAATGTTTGGTATATATCATGGATGTACATAGGGCCTGGGGGGAATAGCGCAGTGGCACAGCACCTGCCTGGCAAGGGTGAGGTCCAGAGTTTGAGTCCTGGTACAAATATATATATATATATATATATATATATATATATATGAAATGTCTTAAATTCTTGGAGAGAGTAATTTTGTAATTCCAGGAATACTTTTGTTTTGCTGTCTTGCTGCAGCACCCGACTCAGAATAGGCTTGTAGGGGATGAGAGTTCGCTTGTTAACACAAACTTCCTCTTCTTACACACTGAAACCTGTGGAGCTCATAACTTAGATCAGATCAAAAGTGATATGAAGAGCTACATTTTCTGTCTAAATGAACATTCTTTCAAAATACTGATAATGCATACTTCTGCCATTGAATCCCAGACTTCCTCCTGTTTGCCCATTTTTTCGATCTCTCAGCCTAAGCCATGAGATACCAGACAGGAAAACCTGCCTCCATGTCCTTGAGCTGAGCAGTGTTTGGGACATTTTAGGAACTCTGGTTGAATTTCACTGGGGATCTCCTCTATGGGAAAAGGAGGCTGACAGTAAGTTTTATGGTGCCTATGTCTTCTTTTGTTTTTAGTACAGTGGTACTTAGTTCAAAATGCTTTTATTTGCAAACAGTTTAGTTCACTAACCAAAGTTTTTGGCAAAAGTTTGTATTTTTTTTGCAAACTGCATCAGATGATGACCAAGACTGTGGCCGTCTGCTCTGCACAAACACAAATGTGACCATCTTTTCCAGAATTGTGCAGTGAATTAAGTTTGTGAACTGAGCTACCACTGGGGTTTAAACTCAGGACTTGTAAAGCAACATGCCGAGCCCCCCTTTTTAAATTTTATTCTATTTTATTTTATTTATTTTATTTTATTATATTTTGAGACAAGGTCTTAGTCACTCAAGTGGGGTCAAAATTGTGATCATCCTGCATTACCTCCCAGAATAGCCAGGTTTACAGGTTTGTCAGCTGTGCCCAGCTTTTTGTCTTTTCAGAGAGAGATAGAGAGAGAGAGAGAGAGAGAGAGAGAGAGAGAGAGAGAGAGAAACAGAGAAAACAGGTAAAATTAAAAAAAAAAACTGTTTCAACTTTTATCTGGTTCACTTATCAGCTCTTTTCTTTGAAATGGTCACTTAAATTCCCTCAAGCACTTTCTTCACAAGGAAGATATTCCCACCTATATATATGGCTGCAGGATGATCTAATGAAATTAAAATTTGGAATACATAGTACACCTTCATGAAGATGATGATTGAAATTTGGTATTTAATCTGAAATAATAAGTGACTGACCAATGAGTAAACAAAATAGAGAATCTACAAGAAGCATAGAGTCTGTGCCAAAGAGTATCGTGCCCCTAAATCTGTGTTGCTTGAATCTGGAAAAGGCCATTAAGACAATCGTGAAAGTTCACTTATTATTAAGATATTTTCTTGTTCTTAAATAAAAGGAAAAGATAGAATGACCTTTGAGGGAACTCACCTATCATACATCCTGTGCCTCCTGAATGAAAACAAAATGTGTAGATAAATTAGAATCTGCTTTGTCCCTGTGCCAAAGATAAAGCAAAAGCTTAAAAACATCATAGCTAACTCCAGGCTCTTTCATTTCTTTGGTGGATTCAAGGGACATCTTCATCTGTGAATCTTTTAAAATTAATCACATACGTTATGCAAAGTGCATGCACTAAGGAGAAGTAGAGAAGTAGCGTTTTAATTTTTACCAATTCAATTTAAATGCTAATGTTAACCACTCACATGATGCTACTGTGTACATAATTAAGCATCATTACATACTGCACGAGTCATTTAGAAGCCCCCTGAGAGCCATGCTACTATGTAAAACACACATTATACGGACAAGCAGTCAAATGACGTATACTTCTGCCCTCATTAAAGCTTCTTTTGAATTATAGGTCAACCGATTACGGGACAACTTATGAGAAGCTGAATGATAAAGTGGGTCTGAAGACGATTTTGAGCTATCTCTATGTATGTCCTACCAACAAGCGTAAGGTAAGGAATGTGTATTTGGCATGCTACAGATTCTTGGCGCAACGATTTGTGTCTTAGTTGAGTAACCTCTCTGGCTACCTAAAAATCTATTTCTCTCCAACTGGGATTAGAGATGTAAAGGTGAACTGCTGGGTGTGAGGTGCTGAAATGCCTGACAGGTGGTAATTTTCAGATCAGCAGCTGTGAATGCAGCAGAACCAGGGGTAGCTGCCTCATTACAGTTTCAGAAAGGCAGCTAGAGAAAGTGAGCTCTCTGGAGTGGATGCTGCTGACTATCTTGTAAAAGCTCTGACCAGTCAGTCATGAGAATTAGAGGAAGCCTTGACAAGACAGAAGAAAGATGGGCTTTCATTCGATGCCCCTCTTCTCCTCTGACAGCGAGTAAATAAATGAAGTAGAATTTAATGAATGCATTGTCCTACAGCAGGTGGAGTGTTTTACTTCTAACAAACTGTCAGGATGGAAGCTCTATATTTGGCTGAAGAGTGGTGAGATTCACTGATTTGCCAGTCCCGGCCCAACTCTGTTGCTGTGGTTTAATGCTCACATAACTGCATAGCTTGAGAAATTCCTCAGGTGTTTCTGATGTGCAGCGAGGATGAGGAACCATCAGTGTAAGGTTGAATGCCCTCTCTGACTATACACCTTTCAGATTCTTCAGGAGACAATCTAACGTCTGAAGACAGGTTCTGAATTTAGATGGCTTGGGTAAGAAGGCAGCTAAGCTAATCACTAAATGATTAGTATGGTGATATACTTAATCTCTCCAAGCACAGTGCTGTCAAGTTGAAAATGGGGATAATTATAGTACCTACCTCATGAGGGAAGTTATAAGGATTATATGAAATTAGACATTTCAATTGCTAAGCGCAGAGCTGTAAAGACTTAATCAGGGTTTTCTCTTCATTTTATTCTCCTATCCTATCATCCTGTCCCTCCTGCTTCATATAATTAGTGGAAATAATAGTAGTGATTATCCTCTATAAATAGAAGTGTCCAGTAGAACTTTCTGCATGGATGGAAATGTTTCTCCAAGCTGTCAAATACTCTAGACAATAATAACGTATGGCTTTTGAGTATTTCAAATATGATTTAAAATGTAGCTGAGTAACTAAATTTGTATCTGCACTTAATTTTAATTAACTTAGATTTATATAGATGATGGCCATAGTTTGAAACAGTACTGCTCAATAGTGTCAACCTCATAAATGTTTGGCTGTTTCCTGAACAGTCCTGTCATCCTCTTATGGGCTGGATATGGGTCCATCATCAGTAATCAGATCTAAACAATTTTGATCTGCTGTGTATAATCTCAGATTGAGGAACCAAATTTACATCATTTGCATTTATAATCAGATTTACTTACCTGTTGCCTTTAAAATTTTTTATAACTTCTATTGATTTTTTTCCTGTAGTTTACATTTTTGGTAAATTTAACTTCATCATTTAACTGTGCTAGACAGTGTTTTGCACCATGGAATAAAAAGAGAAATAAGCCAAAATATGACACTCAAAGGTCCTATGTCTGAGTAGTAAATTCAGTATGACTTTTTGTAATAGAAAGATCTCTGAACTAAGCTTCAGAAATCTACCCGCACAGAGTTCTTCTCCACTTTGGGTGAGTTATTTGTATTTTTCAAGTGATAATGACATAACAAAGGAATTTACGGATCAGAGAGAGTCCTAGGCACTGCTCTAACCATTGATAGTCCCTTTTTATGGATGTTATTTAAAACTAACAGCATTGTAACAAGAGATGCCAAACACTGAATATGATTATAGGTTTTTCTGTTGCCGCAGAGTATGTACAGATCACAAGATCGAGATAGCTTGAGAATCAGAATGAGAATTCAGGTCCAGATGCAGCTCCTGAGGCTGCCGTAAAACTTAGAAAGGATTAGAGAACAGAGCCCTGCCATGGAGTCCACTTGTTTCAGTACATTGGCAGGTATCAGTCTGCATAGGCAATCTATCATTATCTGGAGAGGCTTAAAAAGGATGTTTGACCATGGCATTCAGCAGATCTGAATTAAGACTGGAGCAGACCGTAGTTCCCAGAAAGAGAGAAGTCATTTTCCCTAGCAGTGAGATTAGCTTTTTCTGGGCCCATTTACTATACAGAAGCAGAGATGGCCTTGAGCCATTGAAATCCCAGCTTTTATGAGCAGATCTGAACCAGGGCATCTTTTCCTCTACAGTTAAATAAGGTGATCAGGGTCACTCTCTGAGATGCTGATAGATTTAAGATATATTGGAGGACAGTGAAGATTTGTACAATGGTGCAGAAATCAATAATGTTGGCAAAGCAGTATATTTGTGTACAGTTTTTCTAGTTATGAGTTGAATTTATCACCATGAAATATGCACATCTCCCCAAGGAGCATATGTGAAGCAAAAAATAGTATCTGCACAATGCTTTAAAGTGTGAATATGTTTTCCCCAATCAATAAGAGTTTATGTAAGGAAAAAAGAATTATCAGGTTGCATTCACTGGGCAGGATAAGTACACTTGAGTTCACACCAATTTCCCTGTGACTTTTGTTACTCTCTAGTGCAAAATGCAAACTCCTTTTAAAGGACCATATGAATTTCTTTAAAGATCTAGAGTGTGTCTAGCCAGTTAGTAGTTTTATCTCAAGTGTTTCCTCTTCCTTTTCATATGGGTGGGGCCTCTTGGAATGAAACTCACAGTGCACTCTAATCCTGTGCATTCCCAGAAACCTATTTTGATAGCATTCTTTTTGCTATATTTAGCAATCCATACAGACAGAGGCAACTCTTCCATCACTGTGTCTTGATGCAGTGGGCATCGTTCCCTGACTTTGCAGATGGTTTATTAAGGGCATGACTTAACCCAGGCCCACAATGGAGCGGACCCTTCTTCACAGTTTATACTGATGACCATGCAGTGCCCATTGCTGTGTATGCATGCTGTCATTACAGCTGCTTTCCTTGCATGGATTTGTTGCAGTGTAAACTCTCCTATTCCCTTAGCTCTCTTCAGGAAATCTTGACTAAGAAACCTAGAAAGCCTGCTCCTAGGTACTAGGTACTAGGTACTCCTAGGTACTAGGTACTAGCCTGGCCCATTCATACTTTCTCCCAGAGGGTCTGTGCCCCAGGTTTCTGATACAGGAAAGAGGCCTACAAAGAAGAAGGCTGAGTGGGTCCTTGTGCCAGAGGAGAGGCAGGCTGGCCATCTGTTACCAACTCTCCAAGAACGCTTCCCTCACCTGCAGAGAAGGCCTGTATGTGTCAGCAGAGGTTTCTTGGCCAATACCAGTGATCTGTTGTTTGGAAAGATGCTGTAACCTGAACCTGAAAGGAAGATTTGGGATGCTGGGGTACAGAGGTTGATGGGAGAACTAATATAAACATAGCAAAGGAAAAATTAATGAAAACCTGAGACTCCTGAATGCTCTTTATCTATCTTCTACCTAAAAGCAAGTATCATTTGACTCTGCATGGCTGAGAGCAATGCCTTTGTCAGCACCCCCAGCCAACCTTGGTTCCTTGCACTTCACACAATGTCTTGTAACCTCATCAAGGATCAAAGCATACAAATCCATATAGAGTTCACTGAGGGAGAGTAGAAAAATAGTGTTTATATTTTTAACTCAGAGCAGCCAATTCATACAATTGTTATATCCTCCCTGCCTCTGCATTCTGTGTTCCCAGTTTGTTCTTTATGTTCTTGTCCCCTTTCATCCTTGTTCCCTCTCATTTCTGTTACCACTTCTTAATTAATATCACTCCTGCTGAGAGTGTCTTTGAAGACTTTCATCCTATAAATAGGACCCTCGCTCCACAGAGAACATTGATCATCCCTGCAGGTCCCCTGGTACCTCAGCATTAAACACTGTTTGTGTTTCCTCCAGATGTGTAGGTTTTAATTACCATATTGCGTGTGACACTTTCTAAATACCTGTTTGATTATTGATGCTCTGTCTCTCTTTATCCTGGGCATGCTTAATTTTTTTTTTTCCCATTTGTCTGGGTGTTCTATATATCATGTATGTGACATTAGGGGACAGGAATGAGGTGTGTGTGAGACCATCTGCCAACTTCTCGTGGGAGAATCATGGAATCGTTAAATTATACCATTTGGATCTAGGGGTGTTCAGGTCCTGCTCTTTTTAAATGTATCCTATGAAAACTGAGTGCCTTGAGAGCTTCCTGGCTGATGAGTGAAAAGCTAAGAGCATGAGTTGAAACTTTAGTGACACTAAGGATGATACTGCAGGGTTTTTTTGATCATATCTAATCTCCTGTTTATAGAGTCTAAGACCCTAAATGCCAGAAAATGCTACGATCAGCTGTGTAGTCTTCTACCCGCTGAGCATGGGCTCGAGGGACAAGGTCGTGTCCAGCATGTGGCTGACTATTTGACACGAGCTTAGGCTGTGTTTTGGGCTCCCTGTTTGGAATTTGGAAAAGGAGGAGTCCTGTGAACTGGGCTTGGACTCATGCATGTTTTCTGATTATAAAATGAATTCTTGCAAATGAATAAATAATTTTAAGAGCTCCCATAAGGTTTTGTCATTTCTAGGCCATCATGTATAATTTTACCCTTTCTAACTAAGCAGAACATGATTAATATTTAAAGTGCCAGGACTTTGCACTTGACATTGTGATCTGGTGAGCTCAAGTGGAATTGAGGTGTTGTAAAATATCTCAAAGGGAGGTGTGATGTTTCCCATGGCGGCATGCCACGCTTGCTCCTGCTCTCCCAGCTCTTTCATGTGCCCCTTTGTACACAAGGTCAGCCATTTGCCTCTCATTTTTTAGAGGGAGTGTGTGTTTCATTCATAAGAAGTGCCATCCATGAACTCAGAGGCGTGGCGGAAGTGGCATTTCCCAAACTTCAGTGAAAGTGCTGTGTTTTAACTGAATCAGTGTGTGCTACCTCACACTTAAACACAGCCAAAGGAAAAAAGCATCTTTTTTGAACCTTTTTGGTAGAACTGAGTGTTTATACTGCTCGGTTACATGGAGCACCG